CCTCAACTTTACCATGCCTGACATCTGATTGCTTGTTACTGAAAATTTTTTATTTATTAGGCTATTCGTTACTAGTTACTCCTTTCAAAAGTAATTTTACTTTCTGGCAACAGTAATTAGTTACACTACTAGTTACATTACTTTTCCTTCACAAGTTGTAATTGCGTATCTTACCCCAAAAAATTATCCTAAATTTTTCCTAACAATAGATTTCTGCCTCACCATTTGACCAAAATCCACATTGGATCGCAGTCAGAATTTATTACAAACACTTAGTGGTGACTGATCGTGACTTGTAAGTGTTGTATTAAAGGGATAGTTCACCCAAAAATGAAAATTTGATGTTTATCTGCTTACCCCCAGGGCATCCAAGATGTAGGTGACTTTGTTTCTTCAGTAGAACACAAACGAAGATTTTGAACTCAAATTGTTGCAGTCTATCAGTCTTATAATGTAAGTGGATGGGAATCACGGCTTTGAGAGTAAAAAAAAAGCATATACAAACAAAACCAAATTAAACCCTGTGGCTCGTGATGATACATTGCTGTGTAAAGACACAAAATGATCGGTCTGTGCAAGAAACAGTATTTATATCATTTTTTACCTCTGATTTTCACCACAATGTCCGAACTGTCTGTCCTGAGCGCATTCCCCAGAGTGCGTTCAACAGCTGGCGCCTGACGCGTCTTGTTCTTCTTCTTGCTTTACGGCAGATCGCAGACTTATAAGTGCATTACCGCCACCTATCTCTCAAATGGACCATTGACATTCCTAATTGAGATTTTAGATAGAGTGTCAATGGTCCATTTGAGGCGCCGGCTGTTGAACGCGATAAACACACAACATGTGATAAACATCAAATTTTCATTTTTGGGTGAACTATCCCCTTAAGCTTGAAGCTAATTGTAGCTATAATTTCTCTGTTACCCATATACGATTATATTTCATGATTAATTTTATCAAAAGAAATAGCATAAGTTAGTAAGAAAATGTTTCGTTTTCAAAAAAGATTTTTTCATTATAGCAATACAATTTATATCGGGATCAGAGGGATGTGGGTGGGCAAGCCATGTAATGCCAGTGTAAAGTAATGCCACAATTTACACACTGGTGTTCAGATAATCTTTTCTTCTCACAAAATCAATGTAATGGCATTATTTCCATGGGTTGAATGTAAGCTTTTCCATATTCCAAGCTTTCCTGCTGCTCAGGTGACTTCATGTGTTAATGAGTCGTGAAAATTGTGAAAATAAATCTAGGAATTATTGGATTGTTGGACTTCAAATCAGTAGGCGTTGAGGTATCAAAAGTAACAAAGTCACCTCATTTGACAACTCCACAAAGCACTACAACCGCATCGATATGAACACTCGTTTAAGTGGCATACACACTGGGAAATTTGACTGCATATCACATTTTTGAAATTATCGATAGTAGCTGATCAATCTCGGGGGTTGGGCTGGGTCCGCTAGGCTTACTTGATCCGTGCTCGTGCTGTGTCTGATTCCGTTGCTCATCTCCGTGCTCGTGCTGGAGCTGGTTCACTTACGTCGGTGCTCGTGCTGGAGCTGGTTCACTTACGTCGGTGCTCGTGCTGGAGCTGGTTCACTTACGTCGGTGCTCGTGCTGGAGCTGGTTCACTTACGTCGGTGCTCGTGCTGGTGTGGATGCCGATTTTGGAAAGTTTTTGCTGGGAAGGGCATTTTAAAAAACCTGAAATTTGCTTTTGCACTATTATCTCCTTTGTATTAAAGTTAACCTTGTTCTCATTCTGTATAGTTTATGTCTGATACCACGTGCCAGCGTCACGTGTTCATGAGGAATAGGCTAATCATCCCATATAGAAACCATCTCAAGTAAAATTAATCATGCTTATAAAGATAAGCAACATGACATAAACAACAATTTACATTTCAGAGATCATTACAAATAAATTATTAAATGCTAAAACTGAATAAATTTAAATGAACAAACTTGGCCTTGCATTTGCAACCATGTGAAAACAGCACCCCTACTTCCCGAGTCCCCGTGTGAAAGTAAAACATTTTTTCGTTTTGTTTTGCTTAATTTTATTTTAATTTTAATAAAGGGATAAAGACTTGAGTAAAAGCTTGTCATACTTTCTTATTCATATATTAAAACGTTTTTTTAACATGGACAAAACGGGTAACATTAGGCTATGTCCACTGAAGTGCCTTGAAATGCGCAGCGTTATTCTATGTGGTGTGTGCTGCTGCTGCCTAATCATTTTCACAAATACATACCGTAAAATAAAGATAACATGAAAATATGTATATAAAATACCAAAAAACTTGGTTATTGGTTACTATAGTTAAACCATGGTAAAAACAACATATTTTGCTCCATATTTAACCATGGTATTTGTAGTAAAACTGTGGTTATAGGCTACAATTGGTAATAAAAACGCCAAAAAACATAGTTAGCCTACTATACTTTTACTATAGTAATGCCATTGCTAATTTTCGTAAGGGATTGTGTATAATAATATGAAATAAATGTTTTAATAGATTATGACATCACAAAATATCAGGGAGTGAGATTTGTTTGATTGCGATGCGAAGGAGGGTTACTGTAAGCCCCATCAGGAGGGTTACTGTAAGCCCCATCAGAACTGGGTTGCGGTGCAGGGGACTAACGACAGATCATTGCAGTGTATCGGTCATATACATCGTCAGATCAGGTTTTTTAACTTATTAGAGGTACAGAACGCCACACAGCAACTTTTCGGCATTGCACCAAGCAAAAATCAGTCGAAATCATCACAAAAAGTAAAGATCAAGCGCCTAACAAGGTCTCCGCGCGTTAGCTCGAATGGTTTGTTTCCCCTCGGCATAAACGGTTATGATGTTTCTGGGTTCGCCAGCCTGTCCATCTAATGCAGGACAGCTGAGGTAGACATGACCATATTATGTCTATGGACATGACAAGCTTTGCTGTTTGATTGTCATGAGCTACTTAAAAAAAAAAAAAAGTAAAAAAAATCAAGCTGTAGTTAGCTTGGGGTGTTGTGAGGTTTCGCATGCCGGCAGAACTGCCAGGAGTGCCTGAGGTAAACTCCCGTTCCCGCTCTTGTGTTGTGATGGACAGAACTAGATGAACAAGATAGAGCGCCATTATCTGATGACGGCGTCAGCGTTTACTGCTTTTTTAGATTACATGTTAAGATTTATATACAATATAGACATTTTCAACATGCTCTTTAAGTATTTGGGTAACACAACCAAAACCTTCAGGTAAAACTTTCTATAATGAGGGAGAAATGCTATCATTTATTCACTCAGTAAATCAAGTTAAAGTGACTCAATTAAAAACAATTTCTATTGTTCTGCAGAAAACGGGAAGGAGAGGCTTTGAAATGGCGCAGATGTTTAATTGAGTGATAGTGATGTGGGAGCCTCTGGTGGTTAAAACGTGTAAATTGCCAATTGTGTCCCTGAATGTTTGTCTTTTTGTCCTTTTGAATATTCAGAAAGCAAGTGATATTAAGTGATATTTCTGTCAAAACAAATAAACAAACAAAAAGAATAAAATCATTTTAATACTGACATAAAGTCATATTTACAGTACATCCTAAGAGATCCCAAAATTGCTCAATGTAGATGAAATTAAACAGTATAACAGTATTTTTATTTTTAAAATTGGTTTAGTTTAAGTTATAAACCACAGCTGAATCTGATAAAAATCTAATGTTTCTATTAGTATACAAAAACAGTTAAACCATCCAGTACACCCACATACTCCTCTAGTAAATTAGTTTCTTACTTTTCAACTACACATTTTGGTCCTGTACACCATTCATTCACCTATAGCTTTTGAAAAGCATAAAATACTACAATTTACATAAGATAACTAATTAAAATGACCATACCCACATAGTCTCATAATCTGACATTATACGTGACATTTTACATTCAAAACTCTATCGTCTTGCTCATCGTGGGAGGCTGTGGTGGTGCATATTGTTTTCTGGTTCAATCGGAAGTTCTTCTGCATGTGGAGGGGAGGGGCTTAGTCTCTGAGGGTGGGGTTTGCGTGTTAAGCTGCCCATGTGTGGTGGAGTGAGAGTCGGATGAGGGGTTGATGGAGGAGAGGGGATGGGGGTACGCGGGTATCTTCTTCCTGAATGCATATAAGCATCTGGAGAGTGTGCAGAAGGTGGAGCCATGCTGGGATAACAAGGTGGGCTGAGGGGATCAATAGGATTGATATAATTACAGGAAGACTCATCTGTTCCATCAGGGAAATCCTGGAAATAATAACAATAATAATAATTTTTTTTATATAATATGTATTCTTTGTTTAATTTCAGCTTTATTTCAGTTACTAAAACTGGTTTCTAATAGTTTTAGTTTACAACAACAATAACAACAACACTGCTTCAGAAGACTTGGAATAAGTTTTTTTTCTAAATTTCTTTTATGGATTTTGACAGTCATGGTCTCAATGAACTACTGTTTACTGGAAAAGAGCTACATAAAAATGTCTTTATATTGCACAGAAATTTCTGAAACAACTTGAAGATGATTAACTAATTCAAGAATTTACTTCTATTTTGGGGGTGAATATCCCTTTAAATGCTTAAAGCCTTGAATATATGTTTTTGAAGTATAATTTGTATTCAAAATGTAATGTACAATATTCACACTATTTTATACCATCCTACACGCAAACGCCTCTATTTATTTGTTTATGTCATTTTTTAAATGTACTCTACCTATAAAAAAAGGTAGAAAAGCTATCAATGGGGCAGTACACTTTTACATCACACTAAAATGTACCATTTAGGTACTAATACGTATACCTTTATGGTACTAATATGCACCCATATAGGGGAAATGTATCAAGGCTTTCCTGTAGCTCAAACAGTACATGGTGTTAGCAATGCCAAGGTCATGGGTTCGATTCCCAGGGAAAGCAATAACTGATCAAATGTAAATGTTTACACTGAATGCAAGTTTAGTTACTTTGGATAAACATGTCTGCCAAATGCAAGAATGTAGATGTCATGCATCTTTTGGTTATTTTTGCTTTCCAATTTGTATGTGTTCCTATTAGGTAACATAGCAAGATTTAATGTAACATTTTGTAACATTTTAGAGTCTCAACACCTACTGTAGACAGTGAGTTTGACAGGCAGGCTCTTCATACTGCTGATGGGGTTCTCCACCCTACAGCTGTAGACGTCATCATCTGACATCACAACACGGGAGATGGTCAAGACCTTCTGGTCACGTGACAGGAGCAGACGCGAGTCATTGGTCAAAGATTTCCCACCCTTCTGCCAGCTATAGGTGAGTTTGGTGCCACTATCGTGAGTGCAGTTCAGTATGAAGAGCTCAGTCAGCTCTAGGACGGACGAGGCCACCATGTGAACAAAAGGCCTGGACACTGGAACTGTGATAGAACAGGACAACATGTATAAAGAAAGTTGCTCTTGACTTAAGTGGAATGTCTATGTCTGTCTTACCATCCACAGTAAGGTTGACGTATCGCTCCCCAGTGAAGGTATCATCAGTGATGGAGATCTCCACCTCATAGGCACCCTCGTCTGACAGCTGCAGGTGATGCAGGAGCAGAGAGCCGTTCTCGTATAGGAGGATTCGGCCGCGGTATTCGGGCCTCAGGTTCCCGATGATGTCTGTACCAATGGACTGGACCACAGTGACAGGTTTGTCCCTCTTCAGCTGCCACTTAATAACGGGCTGGTCGGAGCTGGTGCTGGTGTAGGTCACTGAGAGAAGAGCAGAGCCTCCTAGTGTACCTCGCACTAGAGGAGACGGACAGCTGATGTTCACCCCACATACACCTACATACATACAGAAACAGACACATTAAAGACTGGCACTCCAGCAATTGGGGCATGTTGTCACATAAAGTCAATATGTGTTAAATGACCCTGAGCAGTAAA